ATAAATATGAGAGATGCCCTCTCAAAAAAAAAAAAAAGAAAGAAAATGGATTTGTATTGTAGTTTTCCCCTTCAGAGAAAAATAAAATAATTTCTTTTAGATAGAAAAAAAGTATACTTTTTAAAGATAGAAAATAGAAAAAAGCAATAGTTTAGAATGTTTTCAAAAATTTCTAAAAATAGTATTTTCTACCTAAGTGATAAAATTATTTCCTCTATATATTAAAAGACAAATATAGTGGAATGTTACTTATTGCTCAGAGATACAAAAACTATTAGTGGCCTTAGTGTATATTTTACTTTAGAATGAAAATAGCACATGCTAATCCCCATTATTATAACAAGCAATTCTGGGTTTCTGTTATTTCTGACCTTAAGATGAAACATGTAGTTTCTTAGTATGTAGTGATTGGATTAAAAATAATATACTTTATTCAATAAGTTATTTGGCAGAAAAATCTGTTATTTAACTTTCACATTAAAACTGTTTTACTTTTAAACTTTTGAAGTACATATCTGTTTAAAGGAAAAAATTATTGAAAGTAAATATTTCCACCTCTGCTGTCAAACACTGAACTTTCTGATAGCCTAAAGGAGCCATCCCTTCTCTCTTTTCTTAGTACTATTTTATTAGCCCCACTAAGGTACCACTTTGCATTTTAACCTATCTTTGAACTTCAAGTGTAAAGAAAAGAGATCACGAGCCAGTCATTCTCTATGAAAACGCTGTAGTGGGTGCTATGGGGAATCTCATAAGTCTGGTATTTTTGTTAAACTGCCCACATTGGGAAAGAGACCTGGTAGGAGGAATGCCTTATTAATCATGAACTTGATCAAACTTAGTTCACCTTTAAAATAAAATTTTCAATTTTAGAATCTATGGGCTTGGATAGAACACTAGAAACAGAGTCACATACAATAAAATATAGATGGCCCTTATTAAGATCTGTGCTGAAGTAGATATATGAGCCCTAAGAGGACAGGTAGCACTAGAGAAGGCCATCCGCTTGGCCTGAAGACCATGAACACATGACAGTTGCCATGTCCCTGCGGTGGGCTGTGGAAGTTCATGGTAGAGAGGGGAGGGCAGGCTTTGGAGCTGGGCACTTGTAGGTTTGATTCCTGACTTAGCCACTGGTAGATGTTTGACATTGGTCAAGTCATTTAACTTGGGTTTCCTCACTGATAAAGTAGAGCCAATTATATCTATCTTGAATTTTAGGTAGAATATATAGAGTTTCAGCTCATAGTGAAATGATAGCTCTTAACCAGTATTACATTCATAGTCAGCCTTGATAATCTAAGCTTTGTTCCCCATTGCTGACATTTGCACTATTCATTGAAGCCTCAGTTTATGATCTAGTCTAAAATTATCCAGTGAAGGAGATGCCAGAATTTTTCAGATGATACATGGATTTGTCCAACAGATTACTCAGTAATCATTTATTAAAACCCTTACAATATATTAGCATTTTCCTAGATATTAGGGACATAAAGATGAATAGAACACTATCCTTCCAGGAATGCATTGTCTAAACAGGTCCTAGGAAAGACAGATGTTAATCCTATACAGAGATGTTGCTTGGCCTGTTTGTGGTAAGCAGAAAGCACTTACCTCCCCATGGCATTGAGCTTGATGAGGAGTCAAGAAATTCCCTTCATGTTCTAAATAACATCTTTATCAAAGAAATAAGCTAAAAACATTGAAAGGTTGAACGTTCTGGTTAATCCTGGCATCACAGGTCATGTGGTTTGAGAAGGCAGTGGGGTCCATCTAGTCATCAAGTCACCTGTTACTTCTGGCCAGGGGGACCCCTGAGCTGACTGAGCATGATAAAGCAGATCTCCCGTCACCAGTCATCACCAGCCAATTCTAAACTTAGTTTCAGTCATTTTTGTTCCTTTTTCCTCTCTATAATTTTCCTGGTACCAAAAAATACTGTATGTGTTTGGTCTCGGTGCTGTCTCCTGGGGGCTTGTTTTATTTCAATCTTAGAAATACCTGGTTTTGGTTCAGTGACTTCCCATTGTTGGTCCAACTCAGCACCATTTGGGCTCTGGTCCCACCATACCAGCCTGTCTCTTTCTATCCCAGGAATGGCAACAAAATCAGCCCCACTTACACTTAATGTGAAGAGTCCTGAGGCCTAAATTCTGGTCTCATTGGCATAGAAGGAAGTTAAGATTATTGTACATGTATTTCCCTAACAGTTTCTTTAATTACTTTTTTTCCTCTGTAACACTTTCAGGAAACCTTCTCTTTAAATAGTAAGAGGAAGGAACTCTTGGAGTAACACTATGGTCATTTTTCAGTGAATTTTTAAAAATATATTGCATTTCTCTAATTGCCTGTAGTCACATCTTACTGATATGTATTTTCAAACAACTAGTCCCTATAATGTCACATCAGTCATTGCCTTTAACTGACTCACCATTTCTAATTACTCAGTAGCACACGTGACATGGATCTGAGGTGATTGTCTTGATGACCTAGGCCCTGAAGCTCATTTTATTGGAAAGTGTGTGGGATCTGAAAAAAGATGGCCTTTATATGAGCCCCATGTTTGCTGAATGCCCGTTTGATATCTAGAAAGTTATTCCACCTTGCTACACCTCCATTTTATTATCTGTAAGATGGGAGTCTCGGAACAGTGTTTGGGTTATCAACTGCTTTGCAACAAACCACCCCAAACGCAGTGACTGACTTGGCTCACTAACACATCTGTGCCTTGTTGCTCCTTGGCCTCTGTCTGTCTCCATGTGGTGTCTCATCCTCCAGTGTCTCTCCTTGAACCTTGCATTTCTCACAGTGGTTTCCTGGGATTAGTTTTTTTTTACATGACAGCTAACTTCCAAGAAGAAGGAAGCAGAAGATGCCAAGCCAGTTAAGGGCCACATCCCAGAGTGGCACAGCCTCACCTCTGCTGTGTTCACAGCAGGTACAGGACTCACCCAGATTCAGGGCTGGAGAGACAGACCCCACCTCTTGGTGAGGAAATGGCGAAGTCACATTGCAGGCGAGCATGTGGGAGATGCGCATGTATATTGAATATTGAACTGGCTCTTTTGGGAAGAATGTGTACGTGTGTATATGGTCATAAAGAAATTTTAAATGTTACTAATATGGTGGATGTGTAGCACACAATTTAAAATTTAAAAGAAGCTATATAGTGCTCTTTTATGTAGATTTCATATCCTAATTGATTCTAAAAAAAAGCTCTCATTGATTTTTGCCAGATTCTTAGATTCGTAGCCAACTTACTATTGAATAAAGATTTTGCCTTATTTGAGTCTCCTTCAGTGACATTATCTTCTTGCATATAGTAGACTTTCTATATGCAATGAAAGAGTTGTTAGTAACAATCGCAAACTAGAATTTAATTCATTTTGCTAAACCCATGCATGACATTTTATTGAATACTTAGTGTACAAAGCACTTTCAAAAATGCTCTTAATTGATTCTCATAATACAGTAGGGAATTCTCATTCCCACTTTCCAGGTGGGAAAGCAGGTTTTGGAGCAAGTGTCACACAGCTCTTAAAGGTATAGGTAGGACTAGAATCCATACCTTTTGACTCCAAGTGTACTCCTTTCCTTTCCTCTACTGAAACCTTACCTTTGGCAAAGGAATTAAAATGGACATAGGGACAGGATTCTTTGCCTCTATCCATATTAAAATACCTCCTTTCAAGGAAGACTTTTTGATAGATGTTAATTCCTAGTTGGTATAGAGCATCTTCACTATTTCAGCTCCTGGTTCTAGGTATCAATTTTTACAGTGAGAGAAACAAAGTATCCTCACTGTTGATTTCACCTGTGAATCAAAATGTACAGCCTTATCACGGGACACTGGGACCCACAAATACCTCTATGCTTGTTTCATTTCTTCTAAAAATGAGTAGCAAGAATTATTGACATAGTTCCCAGCCACAAGTTCCCCATAGAAACTACAGGGGCTGAAAAGTATTATTTGGGGAGATCAGACAATCTGTGACATAGCATTTAAATATAATATTGTAAAGGACATGGGGTGGGGAGCAGGGGGAAGCTTGTATATTGCACAGTGACAGTTAGTGAAGGGAGAAAGCCAGAAAGAGGCCTCAGAGCTTTCTTCTGTCTTCCTTTTTCTAAAATTCATCATTTTCCAGCCACAAAGTAGATTTTCTTATCTCTCAGTGAAGTCATTCTCTGTGATTTGTAAACTGATTCTGTGTTTTGGCTGATGAGTCCATTTCTCATAGAGGTAACAGGGATGTTTTTATTAGTTTTTTTTTATATAAGGAAAATGTTTTTTGTAGAAAAATTGGCAAATAAAGACAAGCACAAAGTTGAAGCCAAAAGTGATCCACGATCCAGCCACTGTTAATAGATAACTAACGTTAACATTTTGTGAGTATCTCAGCATTTCAACCTGAAGAACAGAGCATCTCTTTGAACCCCAGTATATACATGGCATGGATTATGTGTTCAGTAAATAGTAATAGTGATAGCATTCAGTTTGATATTTTCTTTGAGTGGCTTTAAGTACTGTGGTGAGATTTTTTGAATTCTAATTGTCCAAACTTTCAATATTGAAGGATAAATAGCAACTACCTTCTCAGTAGCTTTGTGGCAGCTAATCAAAGCCACATTGCTGTGGGTGGCATTAAATGCAGAACTTCCATAGGAAAATGATAGTGTGTCTCAGAAAATCTCATGACCTCCACTATCCTTGTGGTCATCGAGGGTAAGGGACATGTGTATGAATCACAGATCAAGCCCAGGATGAGTTTGGCAAAGGCCCTCTTTCTCTCTGCCTTTCTGACAATTGAAGGAAATTTGTCCTGCCTTTAGTGAGGCTATAGTATGATACTACTTTGATACACCTTTACCTGGTAGAAACTAGGAATCCCTTTCTCCAAGATATTTTCTACTAGAATGTATGCTTCACTGATGCTGAATATGCTGAGGAAATATGTGCGCTAAGTAACAATTCTGCCTTCTATTTTTTTTCTATTTAGGCAGCAATAAGGAAAGAACTAAATGAATTTAAAAGCACAGAAATGGAAGTTCATGAAGAGAGTCGACAGTTTACAAGGTAGGTAGACAAAATGCAGTTTAGCATATTGAAATTGATGTAAGAGGGTAAGTTTTATGTGGTGTGTATTTTACCACAATTAAATTTTTTTTATAAATACAGTTTAGCATAGCACCATCTAATGAAGATTTCTAAAATTGTCTTTTATTTTTTTTTCCACCCCAAAAATCTGAATCATTCTAAAGGGCTATGTTTTGGTTTTTTTTCTTAGTTTTATTTTCTGAGCCAGAAGACAAGCATCAACACATATATTCTGCCCTTGAAGGGACTCAGTTGAAGTTTAATGCTCAGAACAGGGGCTGCTGAGAGCCAGTGTGGGCATCTATGTGTCTGCTTTAAGCTCCTGGTAGACATAACTTAGAGGGATGGAGACTCAATTTTCAGGAGACATAACTTTTAGAGTAGGAGTCCAGTTTTTACTGGTGCCACCGAAGATGGCTATAATCCTACCCTTTTCCCTCCCAGTGCCCTCTCTGTCACAGGCTGCTAAACCCCGAAGGGACCTGAATGATCATGTAGTCTGACGCCCACCCTTCACAGGCGTTCTATTGATTCCTGTCTCACAGGTTTACATGCCTTGCTTGATATAACAGGTGTGTTCCTAAAAATTTGCATGCCCATCAGATCTTTAAGAACTGAAATGTTTAAAAACATAATAGGACAGATGATTACATGTAGAAGACCATGGTAGGTCTTTCTGGAAAACAGTACAGATTCCCAAAGCTAGAACCAACCTCTGGTAGAACAGCCGTACACTATGGTACTATTGTATCTGCATGGTTCCTGTTGGTGATGGCGCTCCATGCTGGGGAATGTGTCCCACAATAAAAGAAGTAATGGTATAACCTAGTGATTGAATAAGTAATCCCTTTCCAGAAGTTCATGGGGCCTGCTTGCTCCATAGCTATTGCTCCTATAATAATGTCTGGTATGCAGAAAAAACTCCCCTTTCACCCATGGTATTTCTTACTTGTTTTGTATCCTTCTATATCATGTTTATTTTTAAATGCATGTAATGCTTTCAGACATCCTGAATGTATAGGAATGTAAAGCCCTCTGTATGAGGGCTTTATCCTATCCTAATCTACTCTGGGACCAATCACTTGCCCATATCAAGCCAGACCTATTTTTCCTTTCCTTTTCTCCTTTCCACTTCTGGGGTCAGGAAAAGTTTGTGCTAATATCTTCCCCTTGTGGTGATACCTGTTCAGTAAAATTGATCATCATAAGGTGGCTGGATATTTATGGTGACATCCAGCTGACTGGGACCTTTGGGCAACTAGGAAGATGACATATGTTTGTGCTGTTGAGTCCTGACCCCTGAGAGGTAATGACTGCATTCAACCTCATCTTTATCATTCGGAACAGTTTTACTTCTGCATAGTTTTCCTAGAAATCATAGTATCTGGTGACCTCATTTTCCTTTGATAGTATTATATGAAGAAAATACTACAATAGAAAGTAGGTGATTTTTTAAAATGAATTTTTATGGAAGTTCTCATTTTATGAAAAATAAACATTCTGAAAGAGGTTCTTTCCCTTTTGTACACTTTGAACAAGTTAACAAGAGTAGGCTGCAGGGAGAAGTAGAGGTTATTTCTTTTATATATTTGTATTTGTTCTGTATACAGAAATAATATTTTCTAATTAAGCATTCAAATAGTATAATCAATCAAGTAAAAATGAAAACCCCATTCCTTTCCCAACTTCATTCCCATTCTTACAATTAACCACTGGTAATAGTTTGGTGTAGCTCTTTCCAGACATTTTTCTGTGCATTTACAAGCATGTGTGAGTATGTATACACACATATATACACATAAAGGCTTACATGTGCATATATATAACACATATTTATATGTATGGTATATATATGTATAGTGATAGGGTTATCACACACACAAAATAGTATCTAAAAACCTTTCTATGCTAGTATATCTCATTCATTTAGTTACCTCTATGTTATTTCATAGATAATATACCATGTTATTGAACAATTATTCTGTTGATGGTTATTATATTCTCAGTTTTTCATTAGTAAAACAATACTGCCTTGATTTTCCCTATATCTTTATATGTATCTTCATAATATATCAATACTTATTTCATATTTAATATCTATAATATTTATCATAAATTTTATTGCACATGTGCCAATATTTGTCACTCTCTAGCATTTGGTGGGGCAGGAGGCAGAGACTATGGATCTATATTCTAAAGAATAAACAATAATACTCATTTCATTGATTTCTATAAGGTTTAGCATCTTTACATATCTTACTGACCATTTATTTTTTATTCCTATTATTTGCTTTGACACATTTTCTTCTTGGTTGTCTTTTTCATATGAATTAGTAAAAATTTAAATATTGTAGATATTGGCTCTTATTACATATATCACCATAGTTCTCCCAATCTGTTGTTAACCTTTTAACTTTTTTTTTGCTTTTTTTTAATTGAAGTATCGTTGATATACAATCTTATATTGGTTTTAAATATAGAATACAGTGGTTCAACAGTTACCCATATTATTAAATCCTCATCCCCACTAGTGCTGTTACCATCTGTCAACATAGGAAGACATTACACAATCATTGACTGTATTCCCCATGCTGTACTGCTATCTCCATGACCAACTTATATTATGATTGAGAATTTTTGTGCCCCTTTATTCCCCTCCCTGTCCGCTCCCAACCACCCCAGCTCCTCCCCATGATAACCACTAGTCAATTCTCAGTGACTATAAGTCTACTGCTCTTTTGTTTATTCTGTTTTGCTTGTTTTTATATTCCACAAATAAGTGAAATCATATGGTATTTGTATTTCTCCTCCTGGCTTATTTTACTGAGTATAATATCCTATAGATCCAACCATGTTGTTGCAAATGGAAGGATTTCTTTTCTCCTTATGGCTGAATATATTCCATTGCGTATATGTACCACATCTCCTTATCCATTTAACTGTTGATGGACACTTAGGTTGCTTCCATATCTTGGCTATTGTAAATAATGCGGCAATAAACATAGGGGTGCATATATCTTTTTGAATCAGGGATTTTGTTTTCTTCGTGTAAATTCCTAGAAATGGAATTACTGGGTCAAATGGTATTTCTATTCTTAGTTTTTTGAAGAACCTCCATACTGCTTTCCACAGAAGGTGTACAAATTTACATTCCCACCAACAGTGTAGGAGAGTTCCCACTTCTCCACATCCTTGCCAGCACTTGCTATTTCTTATCTTTTGGATAGTGGCCATCCTGACTGGTGTGAGGTGATATCTCATTGTGGTTTTGATTTGCATTTCCCTCACAGTTAGTGATGTGACGCATCTTTTCATGTGCCTATTGGCCATCTGTATTTCTTCCTTTTAACTTCTTTTTAATGGCTTTTCTTTAAATTTTTGCATTCAAATTTGTTTGTATTGTTACTGCTTATATCATTGTTTTGTGTCTTATGGAAGAAGACCAAGTTTATAAACTTTTAAGTTCAGTTTTTATATATGCTTTTTTTTTTACACTTAGCTCTTTCACCCATTGGGCATTTATTTATGTGTCTGATTCAAGAGAGTAATCTAACTTTACTTTGTTCTAAATCAATAATTAGCCCAAAGCCACTTATTTCCCCCTTGTGAAATTCTTTTAATATACACATGGGTCAGTTTCAGGATTTTTTACTTTGCTCTAGTGAGCTATTGTCAATCCTTATACTGTTTCATACTGTTTAATTAGAATAGAATTGTAGTGTGCTTTTATATCTATTTTTTCACCTTTAAAATTCTATTGGCTATTTTTATGTACTTACTCATCTGCAAAAGTATACAGTATGCTTGCTATATTCCATAAAATAGTCTATTGATATTTTCATTGTTTAAGTAAATATCAGTACATGCAAATAGGGATGAGCTGCATTTCAAGAGAAAATCGTAGGCATTTTTGGCAGGTGGAGGTATTAGCTTACATCAGTGGTAAGTTTTCCAAAAAAATATATTGATTAATATTCTTTAAAATGTATTTCCAGATAAGGAAAAATTAAATATTCATATACTATGATACATATACCTTGCTTAAGTACTCTTTAAAACTTGGCAGTAAAGAAAATGTCTACTGCTATTTTTCTGTTAATTTATATTACATCATTAGGTTGAATTCCAATGAAGAAATATTGTGGCTTTGAGATTTATAAAAATCATGCATATGATTTTCACATAGTTTTCAGTATTTCTTTTAACAGGAAAAAGGTTTGGTAAATACTGTAAAATCTAATAAAAATAGTACAAAAATATGATAATGTTTACATTTAGAAAATTGGTCATGTAGAAGATAGTGGTGCTCTTAGCACCAGCCACCCTTGGAGGGAATAAACAAGCAGTGGATCATCACCTAGCCCTGTAAATACAACCTAGATATATAACAGTCTACTTACTGGCTCTCCTTATTAGTGCCAGACATGATCTCCTTGTATCAAGTAAGCCTTCCCTTCAGAACCTAAGTCCATTAACTCCCTGTGGATTTGAGGTGGTTAATAAAAGGGTTGAAACAGACCTGCTGCTTCTATCCAGGCACCTCTGTATCCAGAGAGAATCTCCCGAGAGATTATCTCTCACAGTGACCTGTCAGTGAGCTCTAGAAGAATCCATTCCCATATATATAGCTTCTGTACCTTTGGAGAGATACACAAAAAGCTGGTAACAGTGGTTGCTTCTGGGAAGAGAAATTGGATGGCTAGAGGCAGACATGGGAGGGAGACTTTTCACCAAGAATACAGAAACTCATCTTCTTGAACCTTTTGAATTTTTGAAACATAAATATGTGCAGTTAACCATATGAGGGGTATGAGGGGTAAAGTGCTGACCTCTGCACAAAAATCTGCATTAACCCCTCCAAAATTAATAGCCTACTGTTGACCAGAAACCTTACTGATAATATAGTCAGTTAACATATATTTGGTATGTTATATGTATTTTATACTGTATTCTTAAAATAAAGTAAGCTAGGGAAAAGA